ACATGTAGGATCGAATTTTTCGTACAATTCAATAAATATGATAGTGTTAGATCATGATTACGATTTCATATCGACGAAAAATCAAGAAAAAAAGATCAAATGCCTCATAGACCAACGACTTATAGATCTACTTTCATATTTTTTCAATGCCTTATAATTGAAAAAAAAAATAAAAGGATAGGACGTGATTTCTTTTTTGATCCATTATTTTGACAAAGAGCACAAAAGCCGCTCTATGTTCCTTCAAGTCTATTGATTTAGCTATTTCAAAGTAAATAAAACAAAGTAAAAGATAATGAACAAAAGAAAAAGGAAAAGGAAAATTGGATCCCTTTCTTTTTCCTCATTTAGATTGTTCTTTAGTCTTTTGGTGTGTATTTTCAAAGTTTCAACTGTTTACTAGTCATGCGAGCCAAGATTTGTGGGCGTTTTTTCAAGATTTTGAGCTGTTTATTTGACATGCGAACAGCGAATGGGCTTAAAAGTCTTTTGGGTAATTTTTGGTAGATAAGAATAAGATTAGGACAAGACTGCCAAAATTAACGATCTGTTTTGGTCAAGTCTCGAGGCATTTATTAATGAACTATAAAAGGGTCAAAAACTACGAAAGGAAATTAACCGTTATACTATGAAGCTAACTCTATATACAACAAGTAAATCATACCGTATTAATAAAATTATTAGTATTTATTTTAGTAATCAGAGAATATAGTATGATTTACTTGTTGTATAAAGAAAGTTGGCTCCACTATAGAGGCAACTGTTGACTTCATAGCAAAAAAAAGTTTAGGGGATCAAAATGAAACTCAATCAAGTGGCAAAGAAATAAGGCAATACAGTTTAGATTTATTCAACATTTATATACTTGTAAATAATTATTGTATATTTTTTTAAGAAATATAAGGCAAAAAGGAAAAAAAACAAAATTATATATATGTGGTAATGTTTACGACGTGATAGAATATTATTAAAATTTATAGTTATAAATTTTAAATAAAAAATATTTATTTTGTTATTATATGCATAATTATAAGATAAAATAATGAATATATATATATAAATTAATTATTCAGCTTAGCAAGTGACCCGAAGATTTGGAGCGTCAGCCCATATATCAGCTCCGATCATTCAGGGTCCGAGTTTTACAACATTGGGCAAAATTCATTTGAGCAGTTAGAATAAAAATTAGTAAGTATACTACTAACAATTACTCATACTTTTTCAATGTGTATAGATACTTTTAAACTAAAATGTTATATCTTTAAAAACAATATAAATAGAAGTATAACATTTCATAAAACGTTTTTGTTAAAAAAATAAAAAATAAAAGTAGATGGATTAAAAACTGATGTTGTAATTTGTATGTGAAGGGTAACATCACCATCAAAAAAAAAAAAATAAAAACACACACAGAGTCACTCCAGTATTAGAATCGCCAGTAATTCTATGCCTTAATTTGAAATTAAACCTTTTAATGCAAATGACTTGAGAGAATGGAAATTCTGAAAAGTTGCCATTGCCCTCGTGATTATAACTCACAAGTTAAGTGTGGCGCTTTAACTTACTGTACTATTATCAGAACTAATCCATTTAATCTCTCTTTTGAATATCAAGTTGCCTCCACTCCACACTGTTACAATAATCTTCAATATCAAGAAAAAAAAAAGAGTAAAAAAAAAATGGATTTTGAGATGGCCATTGTGCCGAAAAATTTCGAGCATGGAAATCCGAGCACGCTCGACAAAGAAGATGATGATGGTTTAACCACAAATACGAGTCGAAAATTGCATCCAAGACCCCCTCCATTTCTTACCAAGACTTTCGAAATGGTCGATAATCCCGAAACAAACTCGTACATAACTTGGAACTCGACTGGCTCGGGTTTCATAATATGGGACCACAACAAGTTCTCGGCTCACGTTCTCCCCACCGTTTTCAAGACGAGCAATTTCTCCAGCTTCGTCTATCAGCTCAACAGCTATGTGAGTTTCACATCAAAATCTTTAATAATTACTCTTAAACATAATTTGTTCAAAACATAGTAGATATTAATTCTGTTTTTTGTTTTTCTTATTTTATTCTTTCTAAGTAGGGATTTAGAAAGATAAGTTGGGAGAGGTATGAGTATGCAAATCAATGGTTCCAAGCAGGGAAAAGGCATTGGCTGAAGAACATTAAAAGAAGGAATCAACTCTCAGATTGGGCCCACACAGGGGAAGGAAAAAAGCGTCGTGTTCATAAGTCGACAAGTGTCACGATCGAGGCCAAGCTCGATAACCTCATAACCGAGCAAAACGAGATGAGAAGAAAGATCCAGAAGCTCGGCCGTACGATGATCGACATGGAAAGCCAGCTGGCGGGCCTCGAGATTCCGAGCTTTCAAGAACTCGAAAACGAGAAAATCGACACGGAGTTATTCCTCAAGCGCTTCATGAAGTATCTTGGAAAAAACGAGAAAGGTACAAGTTCGGGAGGTGAAGGTACAGCCGAGCAAGCAGAAGAGAACAAAGAGAGATCAATAATCCCTGTTGAAAATTCAAAGAAGTGCATTAAAGATCCAAAGGTGGGAAAAGATGAAGAAAATGCGGAAAATTTGCAGTGTTGGACGAAAATGATGGAAAATGATGGAGGGTTCGAGTCGAACGAGGGGAATATTGGGGATTTAGCCGATATTCATTCGAAAGTGATGATGGAGTTTGATGAGATGATGGAATCGAGTACAGCTGTTGGGGAGGAAATTATGATTGGTAGCTCTAAGCAGTGCGATTTGGATGGGGAAGACGAAGGCCACATCGACCTGTGGATTTAATTCGAACAATATCTCAGTTAATATCTCAGTTAACATGGTTTTTGCAAATTACTATATATGTTTATTGCACTTTAGGAACTTTTACTATTCTCTCTTCAAGATTTCTCTCTAGTGACTACTTGATATGTCTGTTCTGTTCTGTTCTGTTCACAAGCCTGTATCAAATTCTCTGTTTTGATGTTTTCAGTTGAATTTATGTTTATGTTGTGTTGATGTAGTAAATTTTCAATCCTAGGAAAGAAAACCACATAATTCATGTGTTTCTATCTAAAATCACAGATCAAATCATCCTCATCACCAAATCACTTCACAAGTATACAAGATTTCAAGAACAAAAAAACCAAAAAACAAAAAGAAAGAAAGAAAGAACAACAGTAATACCATATCCATATAACATTCCTTCTCTGTGTAATGTGTATACCCCCAATTGATACGAAAAAAATAATAATAATTTGNGAGTAACAACTCCCAATTATATTTTTCTTATTACAAAACAACATATCGCGGTAGCAATAGCAAGGCCACTCTGCCGCTTACACTATCCCGCCCGCCGCGTATCTGCAAAACTCCCAATATACCCAAAACTACAAACACACTACACCGATATTGACACCGACACGGAAACCGACACATCCCGACCCGACTCGTTAACCCCCACACCCGAATAATACCCATTCTCGCACCTCCGAAACACCTTCGCCAATGAGGCCGCTTTTCTCCTCGCTCTCTTCGTCCCCGTGAACAACAAACTCTGCAGCAACCCCGCTAACGCCGGTGCCCTCACCACCCTCTCGGCCGCCGTGGGCCCACCCACACGACACATCTCGAGCAACGCCGCAACCGCATTCTCCTTACCGCGCGGACTCCCGCACCCCATCATTCCCATCAACCCCACCACCGCCATTTCCTCTCTCCCCACCGCCTCCGCCCCTTCCGGCCGCCTCACAACAATCGCCAAAGCCCCCGCCGCATCCTCCGCCACGTCATCACACCCGAGCGCCTCGATTAAACCCGAAATCGCCCCCGACTCGACCATTATCCCCACATTCTCGGAATGAGTCGAGAGGTTGAATAACGCGGTCACGGCGTCTTTTCTCCCGCGCGGCGTCCCGTTTCTTAAGAGCTCGATTAGGGACTCGACGGCTCGTTTTTCGCGCGCGATTCGCGTCTTGTGGGAATGAATCGACGAGAGACTAAAAAGTGTGGCGGCGGCATTTTCTCGAGCCTCGGTCGTGTGCCCGTTTTGTAAAACGTCGACTAACGCGGTTAGACAGCCGGGCTCGTTTATTATACGCGATTTGTTCTCTTCGTATATGGATAGGTTTAGTAGTGCGGTTACGGAGTTTTCTTGGGAAAGTGGGTCGGGTGAGTTTAGGAGCGTCTTGAGGAGAGGGATAGCGCCGGATTGAGCTATCGAGGCTCGGTTATGACGACCCGATTTTGCTAATAGACGGATTTCCCAAGCGCTAACGGTTTTGGCTCGAGCCGAGCCGTTTTCGAGCTGAGAAATGAGTAGGCGAGCCGTGGCTCGTGTGGCTTCGGTGGAAGCTCGGCTGGGATGGCTACTATCCGGGAAATCCGGGTTTTCGGGTGGGTCGTAAGGGATGTTGTTCGCCGTGCACCATTGAAGGATTAAATTATGAAGGGCTCGATTTGGGATTAATTTGGTGTGGATTAGGTTTTGCCCTGATTTGGGGCAAGTTGAATGGCCGTCGTCGATCCATCTTGTGATCGACGGCCGATCATAGGTTTGGCCGGTGGATATGATTACAGGGTCACGCATTAGATCTAATGAGATCGGGCAGGTGAAGTCTTTGGGTAATTTGGCGAATGTATCGGCGATTTCTTGGGTGATTAAGCTGATTTTCTTCGCCGGCCGCCGGCGATTGGGTTTCCCCAGATCGGCTTCCTCCTCGTCTTCAAATCTGAAAAGCAAGTACCTGCAGTAGCGGATTAAGGCGACGAACCCTTTGAGAACGGTGGCCGGCGGGTCGAGATCGCCGTC